TTTTTATCACCTCACTTGAAAGAGGAGTGACATTAGCTAACCTCCAATCCTCTGATACCTGCCCATTATTCAAGGACTGACAAAAAATATTAGTAAGTGGCTCACATATCCAATCTTTAACCTCCTTCAAAACCCTTGGGGAAATATTATCTGGCTCAGGACCCTCATCAAGAATGAGTTTTTGGTTTACACAGAGTGTTCAAGGGGAGTACTGCACAAGGAGGATGTGTTGACCTTTTTTTTTGATGGATGAGTATACTCTAATACCGATTGCATCATAGACTAGTCCAGTTCACATTATTACCTATAAGGGTAACAGCCTTTAAAGTGGGTTGGTATACATGTAAAAACGTTTTGGCTATAGCTCCAGTTATTTGTTCTGTGAAGCAGTGAGTATCTATCTGAAACAGATTTTCTGGTAAGGAAAATGTTAACTTCTCAGGTTTCTGTTTCAAAAAATGTGCAATTAATTAAAAATATCTCCTGCTTCAGTTGATGAAAAAAAATACGGCAATTTTCAAGAAATTCCACACTAAAATTTGAACATAAGTTTAAAAAGCCTGAGAGATACCAATGTTTTGTTACTAATGAAGAGTACTTGATTACCTATGAAAGCTTGTTAGATTTTTTTTTTAATATGTAATCACAAGTAGTAATTAAGCATAAGTTCATGATCAAATTATATAAATTGGAAAAAAATCCTCACAAACATTTTTTAATAAAGTAGCTAAGTTGATGGTATTGCCTAGATGGACCAACAGATTCCTTGTTGCCCTTAAATGTTAAGTTAAATACATATCATTTACAAAAAAGAAAAAAAAAGGTAATGGTTCCTTTGAATAATATTGTATAAATTATTTTACTTAAGCTTTAAACCCACCTATATTTCTCTGTGACTTTCTCTGCATGTTGCTTGAGATCAATCATCTCAATGAGTTCTGTGACAGTGTGACTAATGAGTGTTTCTGGTACTCCACGTAGACGAGCAAAGAGATACAACATTTCTCGACCTGTTAACTTGTCAATCAGAGCATCAAACTGGGGACAGTAGCCAATGTGTTCTTGAAACTAAAATATTAATGACCAACCTTTAATCATTAAGAAAGTAGTACAGTATAAATCATTATGAGCTTTTAACTTGTTAGTGCTTCAAAATATGGTACAAGCTTTGACACTGAAATACAACTTCAACATAATATTTTTACATAAGTGTACTTACAGTACTAAATTGCAATATATAGAAATATAAGCTATGTTAATTTTCATTAAGTGGCAATGTAACCAAAGCTCTCCTTTACCGCTTTTTATTAAAATAATTTTGTGTTTTATTCTATTCCACATGCACTATATACATAATTCTTTTTATGTGAAATTTCTGTTTAAACTAAGCAACCAATGGTTTTGTTTTTGTCATATTTGTTCACCATTTCAAAGTTCACATATAAATTTCAACTTGTTTACCTAAATAATGTTACACGTAACTACCAAGTGTAGTACGGCTTAACATAATAATTAGAAGTTCATCTGAAGGTTTTTGGGTTAAGTCTACTATGTATTCAATACATATCAAATGAACATTAGCATTAGTTAGGGATGAAATTTACATACTAGTGGGTTTAGTGCATAGTGACTTAGGATTCTAAGATTGTATGTTAAAATTCCTTAACATAAAAGTCCTCTTTAGAAATATATTTAAAAGGTCACAATTAAATAGATAGTGCAGTTGAAATAGTTTTATTTGAAATAAAAAAGAGATTTAATAAATTTATTAATAAAAAAATGCAGAGTAATTATAGATCACTAATTAAAAATTAGCTAGCTATCGTGTTAAACAAAATAGTGTATATTTTTGTCAGCTTGTGTATCTCTTTACTAGTTAAATATAAATTTTTATTTTGTATGAGAGAAGAAATTAAATCATCAAATGTTTGCTCTTTGCATAACATGGCTACATGAGTGACTTTAGTTTATGCATGATAGTTACATGTTTCGACCCAAGAATGTTATCCCTAAGAAATATATATAAAGTAATTTATATATAGTTTTTCCCCTCTGTTATGTACTATGTAAATTGTTACACTCCTTTGTATTAAACGTTAAACAAATTTTTTTGTTTATTGTTTGCTGAGATAAAACTCAGTCAGCCTTTACTGCTAAATATTAATCCTATGTGCATGATTAGGGGTCAAAGTGTAAATCTTACAACCTTTTACAGAGTGCCATTTAATACTGTATTACATATTTGATGTCAAAGTTATCAAATAATAATTTTACTCTATGATGCACAATTAGCAATAGCTTGTGGTATAGGAGAATAAATACCTGATTAAATATAAAGGGATACCGATAAAAACTGTAGATATGCATTTCAGAGGTTCTAGAGGTTATGCAAATACAATATGCAAACTGTACAATGGAAAAAATAAATAAATATTTTTCACTTGAAAATCATCTTGCACTCCGATTTGTCAGTCTGAGAAATACTTTTGTAACACATCCAATTTTTTGTGTACAACATACTTATACATTTGTAGCCAACACTTCCTCTCCAATAAGGGGTACTCATATGGACTGACCCCATGCACATTTAGTTAAATATTACACAAATATTTTATCACTTTTTCTCTAAACTGCATGAAAGTTAAGACCTAGAACAGGACTAACCCCCCCCCAAAAAAAGAATCAGGCAAACTTAGTATGAGTTTTTTCCCTCTTTTCCAAAGAGAGTTCATAAACAGCAGAAATGAAAGTGAAGTGATTGTGAATGTTGTTGTTGTGCCATAGTGTGTGTGTGGTATTTGTGTATCAACTACTGATGATGGCTGTACTGTGTATATTTAGGGCATTAAAGTTCAAATATTTGAAACATTTTTCTTTCAATCATAGTTAACCAGAACTGTACTTCAGTTGAAACTATTTAAGGATACAATATGAATTTTCAAAATTTTCAGCTGTTTTCTATTATTTTTGCATAATATGAATAAATGAACACAGAAATATCTGTAGTTTCTTCTAAATGTAATTACTTTCTCGATAAAAAAACTTAATGAATACATCCAAGATTTTATTTGGTTATTGCATAGATAAATATATTTAAAAAAGTTTCTATTACTCCAGCAATAAGTTTTATGTAACATTTATAGAATTCTGTGTTTAATACCACAGACTATGTATGACAACATGTAAAATAAAATTGTATGGTCAGTAGTCTGTACAGAAACATGATAAACTGAATAAATACGTTAGTGCTTATCACTAAAACGTCAAGTGAAAACTCCAACATATTTTGGTTAATTTAAATAAAGGACTAAGTTACCTTTTTTAAATCCTGCCTCAAGCTGTATTCACCAATATAAGCATTTCCCTCAGTCAGCATCAAATCTCCTGTCAACATTCTGAAAGTTGTTGTCTTTCCTGCTCCATTGATACCAAGTAAACCAAAGCATTCCTTCTTATGCACTCCTAGAGTCAATCTATCCACTGCACACAGAGTGCTAAAGTATTTGGTCAATTTTGTCACCACCAATGCCTCTGATGCTACTTGTCCTTGCTGAAGGAGATCTTCTATACGATCTTGTTCCTGTGTAACATCCACATCTTGATCTACATATGTAGTGTATGAACCTGAAAAAACCAAGTTTTGTGTTTTTTTCACTGCAGCTTTAAACTGGTACCAGAATCGTGCAAGGTTTGTCTCCATGAAGAGGAGGAGTGAGAAGAGGATTATTCCACTAATAAAAAGTGTAAGCATATCTCGACCACAGCCATTTTTATCCCAAGTTATTGGGTTTGTTCTTGGTATAGAGCCATTGTTATGGAATAAATCTGAAAAAGAAAATGGTAGTGATTACACTTTTCAAAGCTAAGCTTTTATTTTTATCAAACTATAAGACATCTGCACAATCAATAATATGTGGTTATCTGATTTCTCTTTCCTTACTATGATACATCAATAAATCTTTAGTAACAGTGGAAGTATAATAAAACTTTGCCCTTTTGTCACTGTCATGTTAACTAACATTTCATTTCTCTTGCATTACTTTGCAGATTCATGATGTCTAACTAACTTTACATTCACTCGTATAGGATTATCAGGTTATCAAACACAAATATTTAATGATTTCAGCCTGCATACAATTGTTGATTTTAACACAATTTTGAAAACTACAAGTGAACTGAATTATCTTGTTGATTCAACCCACAGTTTAAATTATTAATTATTAGCTTTCTTTTATCATTAACTCCTGTTCATTGTCAACCTTGGCCAAAATTTACTGACAATGTACAAGTTACAAATGAAGGAAAGTCTGTTAACTAAACTGGGGTTCAACGAATAAAACAGTGCATTATACTTATTATTGAAGTTATGAGTGTTAGCATTTTGTAATTTTTAAAAGTTAGGTAATACATCAAGAAAAATCTATTAGAAAACTGAAGTTCACTGTCACAACTAATCATTATTTCTTCACTTTGCTAATAAAAGAAAGAGTAAAAACATACTTATGTATGTTAATTCCTTTTAACCTGTTTTTAAATTAATGAAAGGTAAAAAATAGATGAATGAAATAATTATTATTAACCATATTTTTCTTTGTACATATAACAATATACAAATAATTATGCTAAAATATTGAACTTCTAGCATCACTATGATTAAACATTCAAATTCTTAAAGTAAGAAAACACACAATAAGTAAATTACACATATACTGCCATGCTACATTATTTTATCCACTGAGCATTCTCATAGCTGAATAACATTCATAACTTAATCTAAACTTAATTTTTTACAATTAATACTCTTTCTGCCCAACGATTTTATAAGACTATAACTTCTTCCTCATAAAGAACTAATTCAAGATTCAAAATGTCAAATGGTGTTGGGAATATCACTACTAGTTCTACAAGGTAAGCTGAACATGATGACTAAGCCTCACATTTGCCTTTAAAAAAATAAAATGAAAATAATATGCAGATCAAAAGTTATCATACTTCAAAGACAAAAATATAAAGGAATATATCAATCTAGTACAAGCACAATTAAAGGGAAAACTTATTAATGGTCACAAACGTGAGTGAATCATAATATAACAGTTGTGGGGAGAAAGACAACTGAAAAAACATCATACATACAATTAAGTTCAGTATCAACAGGAAAGAAAATAATTAAAAAAAACCTTGGGGAGAAAAACTGATCTCAAAAGTAGCTTAAACATTATGTGATTTCATCATCAAGTAAAATATACAGTCACAACAATAAGAAAATGAAGCATGCTTATTAAATACTGTTGCGCCAGCGAGGTCACGTGACTAGTATCACGCCACGTCCTTCTCGAACCTTCATGAATTATCGGGAGACTACTAGATTGCGGGTAGTCTGGTATATATAAGACCGGCCACGAAGCGACGGGGAAGGTAATGAGTAATTGAATGTATGCGGACAGTATATTGTTGGCCACGTGAGACGCGAGTTATAGCGTTTTAATAGAGCGACTGTTGAAATTAAGTGTATCGTAAAGTTGTATTCGGATAGAATTAACCAGTTTTATTTAATAAAGGACTTGTGTCGCTAAAGTTTCGTCGAAACGAATTTACGGAAAATTAACTAACGAACGGAGATGTAACAATACAATAGAAAGAAGAAAGATTAGTTCAGAAAACACAATGAAAGGTTTGCAACTTACACACCATCTAGTACAAAATACAATCTTAACACTACTATAAATGAATGCTAACTTTAATAACTTAAAGAGAGGAAAATAGAACCTAAATGCTACCAAGAATAACCATTTTAAACAAAGAATATAAACTTTGACTATGTATCTAGAACTGTAAGAAAACGTAAAAAGAACATTTTTTTTATTTCTAAACTTCCCTCAACAAGGTTTTTTTTATGCAAATGTATTTAAATGCATGTTAAATGTCCTATATTACTGAATAAACGACATACTCCTTACAGCCATGAGCTTGTACCTATTTTAATCAAAGTGATAATGCATATACAATAACTTATTTTCTAATATTTCATTCTGATTTTTACTTTTGTAGTGATGCATGCTGTACAAATTTTGTAAAATTTGTAAGTAAAATAACAAATGTTAATATTTTCTAAAAACGTTTCATATAGACCCATACTTAGTAATAAAACACAAATAAATTAAAACTACAATGTGTTTGAAACTTACAATTACAACACTTTGTTATAGTAGGGCTTGTGTTCATAATAATAATAGAAGGACATATATCTTTCATGTTTTCCTTTGTTAGTTTATCACATAAGCTATTTCCTTGGCTGATTCTGTTGATGTTTCCGAATCCCCAAGTTAAGGCAAAGTTGGGAATAAAGCGAAAGACCCAACATAGTATATTAACTGTCTTTTCTAGCATATTATCGGTGGTCTCCATCATCAAACATGTTATAGATAATATCATACCTGGAATAAAACAAAACACCAATTCTTAAGTAACTGTATATTAGCAATACTGCAGAAAAAAATATCTGTATTTTTCTGAAACTCTTATTAGAAGACAAAACTTGAAACTTCACCACAAATTTTTATATTTTAAATGCTAATGTAATATTTCAAATAACATACATTTTAAACACATTCTTAACATCAATATTTAAAATTGGCATTTCAAGTAGTTGACTTCTCTAGATTTTGAGGTCTTAGAATAGAATCTGAAATATGTCCACACCAAAAACTGTTAAAAAGACAAAATTTGTCTACAGGAAATTTTGACCCTACTATGCTTACTAGAAAAGCAAATTTGTATCTAAGGCTAATTTCAAGACCCTATCAAAGTACACAGAATCAATATAATATGTTTATTCATGTACAGCCTACATTTTATTTTTTTATAAACTAAGAACATGACATTATAGCACAATATACCAGAAATCAGAAGCAAATACTTTTAGAAATAATATGATTCCATAGTTTTTACTTTCATAAACAGACAAAAATACAGTAGTTCAAAAATTACTCAGGAGACAATGATAAAGCAGCTTCAAAAATTAAATACATAGCAACTTATTTTTGTATAAAAAACAGAACAATAGCTTTTTATAAATACAATATGATATACTATATTAATCTTTAAATGACAATAAAATACTTCTATCTGAGGCTTTAAAACTAATATATTCTCATTACAAATGTGGATGTTTAATAAGTTGAAAAGTTAGTAATCTGACCTATTAACACTTGTACGATACATACACACACGCATATATAAACGAAAGTAATGCGAACATCTGAATATTTACATAAATTTATCAAATCTGTAACTTCTACAGGATCAAATTCTTATATATTCCACTTTCAATTGAGAAATGCTGAACACTGAATTATGTTGTTAGCATGTTTTTGCTTGTTTAGAAAATAAATAAAAAAGGATGATCCATTAACGCTCTCAACAGAGGCTCGGTCAACTTGACTGACCACGTGACCTATTTGTACTCATTTAAAGTCTTTATACATTTAACACTTTTAACTCTCAGTATAGTGTGTATATCTTCAGTTAACATTACAAGTTTTTCACATATAAAAAATCATATTTTTTAGTGAACTATGTTTTGATAAACTAAAATAAAGATTTGTTCTTGAATATATTGAGTATTTGTTTTTAATATTACGTGTGCAAAATGATTTTCATGTTAAGATTAAAAACTTTTCTTCATCCTAAAAATCTCAAATTTCTTTTGTGTAATCCCTAAAACCTCCTATATACATTTCAACAGTTTTTTCAGCAAAACTACATATTTTATGTCATTTGCTCTACCCTAGCTTTATATGGGATTGGTCAATTTGACCGACCTCATAACCTCCACAAAAAAAAATCTAAATAAATATAAATTACCCCTTTTTTCTTTCTAAAATTACTTCAAATTGTAGCATGAAGCTTGAGGTTCGTAACAGTATACATCTATATATAATTAAATTGTATTGTTTTATTGCCTTTTAAACTGTCTAACTACTGTCCATGACATTATAAGTTGTAAATCACTTGGAGAATGTGCAGGTTATGTTACGCTTTTGAATTACATTACCCACGAGCTACTATGAGCTGCTCGCATGTGTGCCTCGTGAACCACTTTAATAATATTATTATTATTACTTATTATACCTAACCTGGTCTTAAATAACTTAAAAAGATCCCTATCTTTTACATTTTAGTTACATTTATAATAAATATGATAAACAAGAAATAAAGTACTTACCTTATCTTCTTTTTTCTTTCTGTCAATTGTCGATGAAACTTTTTTTATACTAATGGTAGTAACATACTAAATAATTTTTATTCAATTAAATAATGCACCAAAGAACATATACTAATAACATGCAAAAAAACAGACAATATCCCCTAATTCACATAATTTTTCTGGATTTCTAGCTATGCAACAAGAACTGTTACAAATTCATCAAAGCTAGAGCTTGCATTTTCCCATAGGAAAATATTTGCACTCTGAATGAAATTGACGATTACCTGTCCAGAAGACAACATTATACAATACATCATTTGATAGATGAAAATCATGGATTTCTGTTAGTTATTGGTAATATATAATTAAACCTAAGAGAGAACAATTAACAAATCCTGAAAGAGAGGATGTGACAGGAGGGGTTTGATTTTCTATTTGATAGCTCTGTAACCAAACAAACTTTAAGGCTATAAAAAATTATGGTTATGTTACCTTATAGAATTAAGAACTTAAAACTTGCATAATATGAAAATATGGATTATTAGCTAAGATTTTATGCTCTATTAATTGCTATAATATGAACACAAAATAGTTTGATAAAATTTTGAATGTAAGACACTAAAACCTTGTGTCATGCACAGTAAAAGATAGCCATGGGGATAGGGTTAAAATTCATTAAATTCATTTGCTCTGGATGATTAAAAAATGCAACAAGCTACAATTTTACTTTTTTGATTATCTTTCCTGAAATTCCATCTACTTACCTCCCATAATGTTGATTATAGCAAGCAAAACAAAACCTGTGGATGGCGACTTGGGTATGAATGAGAAGATATAGCTCAGTGGAATAGAAGCAAAGCCATAGAGAAGCATCAACAAGAATACAGCACCTAAAAACATTATGGTAAAACTTATGTATGTTAATTAAATTGTCATATCAGTACTGCTTAAAATTACTGATTTATTGTTATTTCAAGAATAGTTTTTAGAAATATTTCATGCACTCTCATTTTTTAAATACAAATGAATAAATGTTAAACATTACTTTATTTCTTTTAACACTGGCATCAAGTACACTTTATAGATGAGCATTTTGTTTTAATAAATGGTTATGAGTTACAAAACTTTCTAGCATTTCCTGAGCTTTCAGCCACAAGCATATTATCTAAAAAATGAATGTTAGACTTTTTTTTTAGGTTTCAACCAATAATCCACTAATTTCAACCTAGCAGAAACTGTTATATAGAATAAAAGTTTGAAGGTGGGTTATCTTTTGAAAATACAAGTTAATATTTTGGTGACTTCCGAACTCTTTTTGTGTGTGTGTGTGTGTGTATACAATATATAAGTTACTCTGTAAACCACTGTTTATGAATAAAGCCAAGCAATTAGTCTTAAGTTTATACACACAAAGATAAAATTTACAATAATAATGTATTTAGTACAAGATACAAGACAGTTAAAAAAACTTTAAACAAAAGATCTTCTTAACTGCTGAAATTAAAAGTAAAGTAAAAACAAGTTCACGGCAGTTTTGTACTCACCTATAGACTCTGATTGACCAGAATAAACATTGTTGGGGTCATAAGCAAAAAATGGAATAAGAATAAGCACAGAACAAACAAAATGAATGCTGAAATCCCAGACAAAGTTCATCACCCAGTATGTAATTCCTTGAATTCCAGTCATCAGCTGAATTAATTTGGCCTTAGAAATTCTTTCCTGAACTGGAAACAAAATAAAAGCTGAAGAAAAGAAAGTGAAAGCAATTGGTAGAAAAATTGTGCAAAGAAGTCGGCTAACAAAAGCAGCTGCAATATTGTTTATAGTGTCAATGGTGCTTCCTGTTAAAGGATGGTTTACCACTGTTATGGAAGCTGTATCAACTTCTGTTACATAACGTAGCATCGTAGTATGCATCAAATTTAAAGACATTGCTGCAACATGATATGGTTCTCCATTGTACCATGAAGTTAATTTTAAAATGTTGTCTGAAGATTTAAAAACACCTCCAACCATATGTTTTTTGACAAAACTGCTGAAATCATCTTCTCCAATTTCCAGGAGATATTTGTTTGGATCTGAGACATTTTCTTTCACCTTAACACCAGCATGTTCCAATGTTTGTTTGTATAGAGTGATCCACTTTGGATCCATATTACCAGTGTACCCATAAAAACCTTTTGTATAACCAAAGCTTCCCTTAAGGTCCAATCTGAGAGGTGGGGAGTCATTAGACAGTCCTCCACTGGTGAGTTTATCTATCCACATCATCAAACAAATAATCAAAATAGGCAAAACAAGTTGAAACAATGCCAGCACCCAATGACGTTTTGTATAGTGGAATCGTTTGATTAGTAATCCCTTCAGTTGTTGGAAAAACAGCTTCAATCCAGTCAACTTTGGTAGGTCTGACCTCTGCATGACTGGAAAAGTGTTAAAAAAAACAACCTTATATCATTCAGGTCACAAACTTCATTTAGAGATTAATTCTTTAAACAATTACACTCTTCCATTCATTACATTATGACTGATTTGTTATCACATGATTTAGAGATATTTATTTTTATCAATACCAGTAAGTGCACTTACAGTTCCTTAAGATAATTACCTTAATATTATGTAATACACATATCATGCATTTACATCAAAAATTTTACAAACAAAGCTCGTGGGTAATGTAATTTGATAACATAATGTGAGCTGCACATTTCCCGAGTGAGTTACAGCTTATAATGGCATGGATAGTAGTAACACACGTTCAAAGGGCAATAAAAGAATAAAAGTTACGAACTTAAAGCTACTTAGGATAAAGGATTGTAGTTTTATGTTACAATTTGAAGTCATTCTAGAAAGAAAAAAATGGGTAATTTAAATTTATTTTTTATTTTTTTTTGGTGGTTACGAGGTCAGTTAAAATGACTAATCCCGTATAGAAATTTGGTAGAGAAAATATCAGATAAAATATACAGATTTGCTGAAAAAAAAAAACATTTGAAATGTATTTAGGAGGTTTTAGAGATTACACAAAGGAAATTTGAAATATTTGAGATGAGGAAAAGTATTTTTAACCTTAACATGAAAATTATTTGCACATGGACTATTCAAAACAAATACCCAATATATTCATGGACAATTCTTTATTTTAGTTTATTAAAAATACTTCACTAAAAATGTGATTTTTTGTATGTGACAGACTTATAATGTTAACTGAAAGACTACCAAATTTTGTGAAGATACAGATACTATATTGAAACTTAAAAGTATTAAATCTATAAAGACTTTAAACGAGTACAAAGAGGTCACGTGGTTGGTCAAATTGACCAAGCCCGTGTTGAGAGTTAAAGAGTATTGAAAAAGAACTAAACATGAGCATCTAAATATACACGCTAAACAGAACCTGAAGATCAAAGGCGGAAGACTTTTGAAACGTCGTCCTCTACATTTGTAGTTTTCTACAACAGGCAATTGCTGTCCATTTGAAACTTAGATTCATTATAAATACTCTGCCTAAACAACCTATCAAAGATTAAGTTTTTTCTGATAAATTCATTAAAATTAAGTTCCTAGGTTTAAACTTAGCATTAAAAAATAGTACTCTACCTGAAATATTCTCACTACACTGAAGTGGTCTGTTCGATTTATTAGAAAAATCACTTTCTTTTACAGTTTCTTCTGCAATCTGCCCTACCCTGGAAAAATTCATGCAAAAACAGCTTTTTATTAATGCACATAAGATAAAAAAAAAGATTTTAAGATGTAATAACATAAAAATTTACCTGTGATTTTTCTTTTTTTTTTATAAATGAATTTTGTCAAATATTTGATTAACTCAACAATTTGAACCTGAAGTTTCGTTCTTTAAGAAGTATAGCCAGCCAGTAGTAGTCAACAAATCAAAATACAAGAACAACATATTCACATCAATAAAACTTACATTAAAAGAATTTTTAAAAGCCAAGTTCAGCTGCTAATGAAGATATAATTACGGGTGATTTTAATTTCAAACATATTGATTGGGAAATGCTAGAGACAAACCATGATTGAGAAAGGTTTTTGGAAACTGTTCAAAATGGCTTTCTTCACCAATTGGTCCATGAACTTACTAGAAACAATGCTATTTTAGATTTATAGTCAAGTTGAAATACAGAAATGATCAAGTGGGTAGAAATTGGGGAACATCTGGGTGCAAGTGATGATTACTCTTGATGAGATCAAGAGATTTGATGTTTTGCTGCATATGGAGATAAGGAATAATGATATTTTGGTTACAAATTTCAAAAACATTTTAAAGGGATGAGACAATTATTATCTGTCGTGAATTGGGCAACTGAGTTATTTGGAGAAACTGATCAGATGTAGAAATTTCTTAAAGATAAATTTTTAAATATTTAAAGTAAACATATTCCTTATTGAAAGAAAAGGGTAAAAAACCAGGTTGGCTCATAAAGAGTATAAGATATAAAATTAAAGAAAAGCATCATAAATTTAAGAAATTTAAATTAACTAGTGTGATGGGAGATTTAGAAGATTAAGAAATTGGTGAAACAAAAAATTAGGACATCAAAAAGGATGTATCAGAAAAGGTTGGCTGAAAATGTAAAAATTAACAGTAAGGCTTTCTTTAATTATATTAAGGGTAAACGAAATGGCAGGATTGGGGTAAGACCCTAGAGAGATGATAAAGGAAGGCTAGTATCTGATGATTATGAGGTGGTTGGGTTATTAAAGTTAAAAATTTCCTACATTGAAAATATATTTCTGACAGGTAGTTACTTCCATTTACATACATAACTATTCACATTCAGTGCTGCTCTATATTTTCAAAATTTTTTCACACCCCCCACAAGCCTTTCACTCCTATATACTCCATGGTTCACATGGTTTAACTGATTTACGCATGCAAATTTTCATGTGACAAATCACCATCAACAGACGTGTGTCTTCCTCTATGCTATTCCATCTAACTATCATTTAGGCAGAAAACTAAGCACCAGTATACAGTGGGGAGGAAAGGTGGGAAATGTGAGCGGAAGTAAGTGCCTGTCAGAAATATATTTTTATTGTAGGAAAATTACAACTTCTGACAAGGTACCTTACTTCCGCTCACATACATAATTAGAATACCACACTGAATAGGTGGAGGGACCGGTGCAAGGAAGAAAAAATAAGCATCCTTCAAAAGTATCCAAAGAACACCCCCCAAAAGCGAACCCTCAAAGCAGATGATATGTGATAGACCACACCACGTTTGTACCAGGTATACTCTTTGCCCAGACATGGCAAAGGTGAGAATGAGTCAAGTGGACAAATTTGAGAAGCACATTCCTTTGCGGGTAAAAGAGGGGATGTGCTCCAAGATGTAGAGTGGCTAGGGCAAGATGTACCATACATGGCATGTCAACTGCAACCAAAACTTGACCGCTAGGAACCTACATCCATGAGGGGGAAGGACAAGGATCATACCTTCAGTATGTAAACTACAATCCAAAACCCAACTGCAAAGGACTGACATCCATGTGGGTGCAGGAAAGAGGATCATACTGTTTTCACCTCAAGTCCAACCAACCAGAAGAACTCTCACCACTGATCAGTGAACAGGGCATATTTGAGCAGAAAGAAATATAGATATATCCCCCTCAAATCAAACAGACCAGAACCACACTAAATACAGTAACATCCTTGGCCTAAATACATCAAGGGGTAGAGCAAGAGGAAGAAGCAGAGCAATGACCAAGTGCACCCACTGTGACCAACAACAAAGGGACATGCACTTGAGATGAACTGAGTAAGGCAGCAGGACACTCTGAACATGTGTGTGAGGCTTATGTTGATTGGTTTAGCTCTAAATCCAAAATTCAACCACTGGGAACTGACATCCATGTGGGGGTAGGATGAGGGATCCCAACTGAAGTGATGAACTGCACTTATGCTGGCACACTACATGTATGAGTACATCATGTCAATTGGTTCAAGTCAAAATCCAAAACTCAACTGCTGGGAACCGACGTCCATGCAGGGATAGGATGAGGAATCCCAATCACACGACATGTGTAATAACATATGGTGATTGGTGCAGCTCTAAATCCAAAACTCAACTACCAGGAATTGACATCCATGCAGGGGTAGAATGAGGGATCCCAATCATTTCTACAACAGAAAGAACACCACTGCCCTACTCTCAACTGAATGAAGGCATTATTGTGTATACTGCGTATCTCTCAATCAGGAGGATACACCCATGGTCCACCACCCCAGTGGCATGGAACTAGAAAGTGGTAAGGACTCTCTTACTCAACTAGAAGAAATGGGGGGAAGGGATGGAGAAATGCAGGGGAGAGTCTGGAGGAACATACACACCAGAGATAGTGCAATGAGTGACTATGAAACCCTATTTTGAAAAGCAGACCAAACTCGACTTATTCAATCTAAGGAGTGGTAGGGATGGGCAGCTATCCCATTCTGGATCAGACTAGGAACAGAGATGGGAAACAGAAAAAGTGGAAATCAGCGAGAAGGAGGGATTAACCTCCCAAGTCACTGAGGTCTTGGAAAGATCAATCTGGGTAAAGAAGAAGATATGAATGAAACATGGAATAAGAAGACAAAAATTCAAGTGGAGGTAAAGTAAGGTAGTGAAGCACCACATTGACATCCTAATCTGGAAGGGCTGCACCCTGTGGAAAGCGACTAATCCCGAAGAAACATAACAGGAGTGACAAAGGATGGAATGCAAAAACTTTACGGTACCATGAAAAATGAAAATTATGGGATAAGGCCGCCCAATAACCAACGATCAAGGAGACCAAAAACCCCTGTTCATATAATCAAGTGAGTAAATCCATAATAATAACAGTGGGATGAGCAGGGGAGAACCCCTGGCCTACAGACCAATGGTGGTGATGCCCCAGATTTCCTCACTAAGGACCAGATAAAAACCAGATGTGAAGATGAAAGGTTCCTGTAGAAGGAATAGAGTACTGTGAAGAGGCAAGAGTGGAGCAGCCACGAAGACCAGTTGGGCTAGCCAATAGCGGGCAATCAGAACCTGACAAAGAGTGGAGTAGAAATCACCCTGGGAAGGAGATGGATAGGAGGATACACATAAAGGAACTTGTCAGTCCAATCCTGATTGAATGCATCACCCGCAAGAGCAAACAGATGAAGCACCGGAGACCAAAACTGAGGTAACTTGGCATTGAGGATAGTGACAAATGCAGGGTACCCACCTGAATGCACAACCACTGGAAAATCTGAGGATCTGAAGACCACTCAGTCAGATACATTTTGTCTGGGAGGGATAGATGACCCGTGACTAGGTTGAAATCACTTGGAACATGACAAACAAGTTGATGAATACCATATGTGTTGACCCAAAAAAGGAGATCCAGCATTCAAGAATCGATGCTACCCTGGTGATTGATATATGCCATTACCATAGAATTGTCTGTATGAATCATAATCAGATGAGTGTGGGCAAGAGGAAGAAAATGATCCAAAGCCCAATGGATAGCAAGTAGCTTCACATTAGTGATATGGTAAGACCATTGTGTCGTAGACCCCACTGACCTGAAGCAACTTGTTGCTCAACCCATGTCCCCAGCCGTGAAGTAAAGCTTCCATTAAAAGATGTAAATCTGGACGAGTGGGAGGAAGCAGAACCCCTGCCAAAGTGATCCTTGTCCAACCACAAATGCAGATTGTTTACAATGGAAGGAAGAATGGAAATAGGAACATCCAAGGGATTCCATTGATCGTGAAGAGTCCATTAAAGGGATCTCATATGAGCACGACTCATGGGGAAAGTGTCATCATAGAGGACCAAATCCCTAAAAGAAATAGGACCTCGTGAGCAGTAAGAAAGATAACAGTAAGAGCATTAATGACTGTCAGCTCCATCGAAGAGAGTCAAAGAGGAGAAGGTTGGGCCTGACTGAGATGAGTGTTGAACAAGACACCCAAATGGATAAGATACTGGGTGGGATCAAGGAAGGATTTCTACAACATGTTCAATCAACCGACTCAAGCCACCTCCAAAAGAAGCAGATGAGTGTATTGGGTAGACTCCAGTTTAGAATGGGCCAACAGAAGCTAGTCATCCAAATAATGGTGGAAGTGCAACCCTCGAGTGTGTACATGTCCAGCAAAAGCCTTGACCACTCGAAAAACGACATATGGTGTGGTTGCAAACCTAAAAGGAAGAGTGTGAAATTGATAAGTCATCCCATGATGAGCATACAGAAGGTAGAGTCTCGCCTGTCTTGATATGGGAATATGGAGATAAGAATTTGAGACGTTGACCTTGGTCATCCATAAACCCAGAGTAAAATCAGGTAGCATAAAGAAGCGGTTGAGGTGTGACAGATCTATCACAGGCCACCAGTCTCCGGTTTTCTTGGGGACAACAAGCAGCCTGGAATAAAAACCCAGAGAAGGGTGAACCACAGGTTCAATGATATGCTAAGAGAGAGTAGATCTTGGACTGCCTCATACAGATGCTGACATTTGGTAGGATCCTGAGGCAATGTAAAAGAAACTGGCATCTGAGACAATGGAGGAGGTGAGAGAAAATGGATGACAAGACCCTCTGATAAAACTTGAAGGGCCTATAGATCCCCGGCAAAATCTCCTCATAGATGAATAAATCAGGATAAACGAGCCCCTACCAGACCATAACTCACAGGGTAGTCACCAATACTGTTGGCGGAGTGACACTCTGCATCAAAGAAAATGAAGAAAAGAAGATCCTTGTATGAAAGGAACAGGTAAAGGTTGGGAAAAATTAGAATAGGGAACACAAATAATGAATTGTCAAGGCTCCGTGCAAGATAAACAATCAACCAACAAGGAAATAGTTAATTGCTGTCTTACAGATTCAACTTGGGATTCCAAAGTCACTGGAAGATCTCCAAATGACAACCAATGGAGAAATGGGGCAAGGCATAAGTTCCAAAGATAAGGAGTTGGCAAACGAGCATGGGACAAAACCATGTCTCTCCCCAAGTCCCAATAACAGAGGAACCACGTGTGTAAAGAAAGAGACAAAGTTGACAAACGTGCTAACAAAGATGTAATTAGGGCAAACGTATACCCCGAAAAACTCTCAGGATCACAGTGGGTCACCTCAGAGAGGAGACAGATGGTAGACGAGTACCATAGGATAGACATGAAGGTAAGACAAAGGCGAGAAAATTAGGCATGGTAAAAAAGAACAGGACAAATTTGCAGATGACAAGGTCTTGGGTGTTGCTAGCTGTGAAGAGGATGCTGCTGATTTACAAAAGGATTTAGATCATTTAGTGAGATTGCAAATATGTGGCAAATGGGTTTTAATTATAATAAATGCATGCGAGTTATCATAATTTGAATTATAATAATAATTTGGATAGGAATAACCTTAATAGTGTCATGAAAGAAAAGGATCTAGGTGTGATGGTTGATCAGTCTCTTAAGCCATCCAAGTAATGTGCTGTTGCTAGTGGTAAGGCAAATAGGATTTTAGGTTGTATCTACAGAAATATTCAATAGAAGTCTAAAGAGATTATAATTTCATTGTATAGGTCACTGGTTAGGCTACATTTAGAATATTGTGTTTAGTTTTGGGCTCCTTACTTTAGGAAAGACATTGAATTGTTGGAAAGAGTCAAAAGGAGGGTTACTAGAATGGTGCCTGAGATGGAGGGGGTTGTCATATGAGGGGAGGTTGAAAAAGAAGAGTTAAAGGGGATCTGAATGAGGTGTTTAAGGTTGTAAAGGGAATTGATAGTGTTGATGCATCATCTTTTTTCATACTTAACAGTGAGAATAGTAAGACTATGGGACACAAATATAAATTTAGGGCAGAGTATAAGTCATCTTCAAGTAAGAAAGTTTTATTTTTCTAACAGGGTGGTTGGCCTTTGGAATGGGTTGTTTTCAGATGTTGTGGAGGCAGTAAGTTTAAGTGGGTTTAAGAGAAAGCTTGATAATTATATGAATGATAAGGGCTGACTAAGATTTAAAAAATATATATTATCATTAATAGTCTCTGTTTAGTTTGGAGGATGGGATAGCAGATAGAGACCAATATGTCCCACAATGTCCCAAAACATTTATGTTAATGCTTATTTATCAGACAATATAGAATATAAGCTTTCATTTACTTTTTGTTGAAGCAGATACTTTTTTTGCAGAAACCACTAAACTCTAAATAACATCTGCAACATTATAATACCCATTTAAATAGTATATCTGAAAACAATGACTAATTATATAAAGCTTCTGACTCAAACAAATGGATACTTAATGTAAGTAAGATATAATTTATCGGGTAGTAAGATTTCTTTTAGATTCCTTTATATATAATATAAAAGTAATTATACCATAGGCACTAGCTTGTAGAAAAATGCTGTGATAAAATTGTTCAATATTATTTTCTTTGTGAAAAATATAAATTGATGGCTGTAGTAAAACATTATTTCTACCATTTTAAACATGAATATACTTAATCACCTGCAATTTAAGATTATTTTTAAAAATCAGAAATAATAATTTGATCAAATTATTATCTCTGAAGCATTATCATCTTTGAAGCATTTTCCTTCAGTGATTTCTATCTCAGACAATGAAAGCCATTTCAGTATATATATATATATATATATTTTTATTTATATATATAACTGATCTTGTATAAATATTAACCATTTAATGAATTTTTTTAAATATTGTCATGCTGGATTTTGAAAAATTACATTTATCAAGACTCACTTTGTTCCTCTCCTTGGCTTATTTCAAGTTTATATAGCTTAAAAAAATGTTATTTGTTATAAAATGCACACACACACACACATACATCAATTTAAATTTCAGCTGATCGAGCAAGAGCATAATTACATATTTTTTTTCTAAATCCTATAATGACAACTGCTTACTGTTGGTTATTTTAAAAATACTGATGATATAACACATAGTCATTATTCACTTTGTAGATTCTCTGTGCTATAAGTAATATTTTAAAGTTATATTGCTGAAATTCCAATTCCCCCACATTTTCTATAGATAATAAACATGTCATTTCAAGTTAGCAATATGAATATTTTTTTTCTTCATGAAATATATGCATATTTGCCTCAAAGTATTTATATATATTACTTAATTCTTGTTTCTTTTTTTTTCTATTTTTAACGTAGGATTTAGCTTTAATTGATACTTATTATCACAATGTTTTTGTACAGGATTTCCTGAGATTTAAGTCCACAGATGACAAAAATAATAAGAAAAATCTGCATGTAATAAATTTTTATCCATGATAAACATCAGTTTGTTTTGTATTTATTCTATTATTAATCTCTTCTATAATTAACCAAGATAATTGGGTGCACTGAAATTTTCAAAAACAATTTGCCCGAGTTAATCTGGTCGAACAATTTCTCACCATATTTTTTAATTATTTGCCCAAACTGATTCACATGTTATCCTCATTTACAATGAGTACTTGCTAAAGAACATTGTAAATGCTATTTGTACAGATCTTTATCACATTTATTTTGAATTATATATCAAATGCTGGAGAAGAGCACTCCTGTTCTTTACTGTAGTTTCATTGAAATAATAGATACCACATACAAATCCTTGTATGTAACATTTATTTATCGGGTATATTTTGTACAGAAGTATAATAATAGATCATAAAAGAACTTTTGTTTCATTAATATATAAATATAGGTTATCAAAAAAAGTGAAATAAAAAACCTGACATTTTCAAGATCATTTCCAAAGAGGTTAATACTGTCACACACACTTTCAATTCTTAACAGTTTTGTACCACTGGGATATTACTATCACTTACTTCAACAACTGAGATATAACTAATACTCATTTCAACAACTGATATTACTAACACTTACTTCATAAACACATCTTCCATGGTAGTCACAGACACACCAATAGCTGTTATACCAAGCTTATCTTTTGATTTCTCCAGTTCATGGAACAAGGATGGAAAAGATGAAGTCTGATTACTTGCTAGTGAATATAGAAGTTCAGTGTTCATACTGTCCTCAAGATAAGCATCTGTTACATGTTTCTGCACCACTTGAGTCACTTGGTCCATTTCACACAAATCTCCCTTTGCTATTCTTAGATAATAACCAGCACCTAAAATACAGTACCATATGACAATAGTATCAACAGTGACTTTTTGTTTATGATTAAAATTAGTTTAGATTCTACATTTCAAAATCAACCTTGGAATGCAATTCTTAAACATAAAGTTCACTTCAACAGAATCACGACAAGAAGGTAAGCACACTGAAGTGGACAAACGCCTTCCTCAACCCAAAGAAGCTTGAAAGGCAACACTCTAAACTTGGAATGATGGGATCCTTTATGCCATACTCAACCCGAGGAAACAGAACTCATCCAGTCTGGAATTATGAACACTCATCCTCACTCCCCAACTGTTTGAGCAAGGTAAATTCCACTTGTCCCCGGAGTTATGGGGAGGATGTGTAACAAACTGTGCTCAATCAAGGACCCAGGATGGAACCATTTACTTTTAGAATTACAAGGAAATAATGAACATGAATCTTCCATGAACTGATATTGATAAAAAAAAAGGACCACGCTCAACCAAACTGGATAGTGGAGCATCTAATCTGAAGCAATATTACGAGTAGGCTGGTGCCTCTCCTACCAACGTCTGGGAAAAACATCCTGGGACCTGGGTAGGAGGGGACCCAACTTTGCCCTCCTAATAAATAGGACTACATCCATACATAAAACATGACAGTAGTTCCAAAATAAAATAACCAACAGACACTTAAAATATGGGAGAAGTCCTGGGAAACTGAAGGATCCCAACAAATAAAAAGTTGTTGTCTGGCACCTCTGAAGGCATTAGTGTGGGCAAGATAACACTTCATCACCCTCACTGGACATAACAAATGATCGAGATCCAATCAGTCATACAAGTGAGAAATAGTGTTCAGATGAATTGATCCCCTTCCCTGACTGCCAATGTCTTAGAGAAGAACCTGTCTGAGGACACAGGTAGAATGATACAGTATCCTGTGCAAAATCAATGCAAACAAATCTGATTGGCGACATCTGTAGGTCAGCAGCAACAAAAATTGAACCTTCATGGAAAGGTTTTACATTGAACAAGAGGCTAAGGTCTCAAACACATGTTGAGAAAGGGCATGTAATACCACCTTAATATACCAGTTAGGTGACTGAAACTGTCGTCTGGGAGGACGGAGGACCCAAAATGACATGAGGAAGCTGGAGAGTACTGGGGACTCAAATTATTTTAATCTTGAGTATTTAAAGATAGTCAATAAGGCTGCCTTATACAGGGCAATTATGGAAGATGCAATAACCTGGTTAAAGACCCAGGTCAGAAAACAAGTTATGGTTGGCACTTCTAATCGAAATGGGTTCAACTTCCACATAACCCCATGCCTGAAGCTTGAACTTCAGGATGACTGGATGTATGATGTCAGATCATGGCTGCTTAAACAGATATGGCAAACAGGAAGTGGAAGAGGTGGGCTCTCCTGAAGGTATTGCAGAAGCAGAAATCAGGATTTAGCTACCAATCCAGTGCTATCAACACCCAACAATAGGTTGGAATGAATCATAGGTATTACCTTTGTTAACATACAAATTGGTGGGTAGGCCAAGAGGTGGAATGCATCAATTACCAAAGCCTGAAGGTTAGATACCGGAGACCAAATTGCTGGTAGTTGGGTGTTCCAATGAGTGCCAACACACCAGTCATCAGTGTTTCAAGATGAGAGCCAATCCAACAGAAAACCTCAAGAAACAGTATTCATTCTATCTGGAGAATCTGTACGAGTCGAAATAACTGATCTGCCACCAAAGTCATCCCCTTTGGCAAGTTAGTAGGATGATATGATAGGAGTTGTCCCGAAAAAGAAGATCCAAGGTTCGAAAACAAAGAGTCCTGGACCAAGGACTTGATGGGAAATATAAGACACCACCATGGAATTGTCAAAGTGAAGCCTGACGATTTTCCCCTTAACAAGCTCAGACCACGAGACATCGTCCTTTGAATAGCAAGAAGTTCTAAAACATTAGGCAGGGAAGCCTCATTGTCTGTGCATAGACTCTGAAATTCCTTACCATTGAGATGTGCACCCCCATCCCTAAAGTGAGGTATCCATGAAGAGGTGGTGGCAGAGGAACACATATCGGAGTACTGTTCCGATCTAACCATCCCTCAAGATCGAAGATAATTATCCTGAATAAGGAAACTGGGGAATCCAGTGAATTGCTGTTCATGATCCATTTGTTACATAAAAATCACTGAAGGTATCTCTTGTGCTTTCCTCCAAAAGAAATGAGGGATTTGAGAGATCCCCACATTCCAAAAAGATAAACATCTGTGCAGTGGAAGGAGGAGAGGTGAGTATGACTTGAACTGCCTGTTCCACAGCTTGGAGACAGATAGAGTCAGCTGAGCCTGATTGAGATACATGTAGAAAAAGATACCCAGACTGATGATACATTGTTTTGGAATGAGAATAGATGTCTCAGCTCTGATAATAGAACCTGCCTTTATTGTTCCTGAAAGTAGAATCCAGGTGTGACATTCTGCCAACTGATGACATGGTGCTAATAGTAACCAGTTATCCATGATATGGTGTGTGCACGGGCCAAGGGAAAGGAGGTTACAAGAAAAAACATGTACATTTTGGCAGAACACACATGGTGCTGATGCTAGTCCAAAGCCCTGAACTGCAGCACATGGCCCTTGCATACAAAATGCAGATAGTGGCGGGATGTGACCGTTATGGAAACATGCAGATAGGAGTAGGCGACATCGAACTTGGCATCCATAATCCTAGTAAAAAATGCCAAAGCAGAGTGAGGAATGTCTCCATTGAGAACCTTGGAGGATCTAGGAATTGATATAGACGAAAAAGATTGATGGACTGGATGCCAATCTCTTGTTTTCTTGGGCACAACAAACAGATGGGAATAAAACCTTGAAAGAACTAGCATGACTCTTCACTGCCCCTACACCAACAAAATTCTGATAGCCCAAGAATGAAATACTGAAATCCAAGTATCTGAAGGAGGCAGAAACACTACAGGTTGGGTGGATAATGATGGTGAAGATATGAACTGAAGGACTAATCCTGATTCAAGGACCTCTAGTGCCCAGGGATCCATGGTTAAGGTTTTTCCACATGTCCAAAAATTCTCAGAATCAAGCCCCCCACAGATCCCAAAGCATATTATAATCAATGCCACTGCTGCTGGTGGTATTCCTACCAAGCTGAGGAACATCTTGGATATGGACAGAATCTATTCTGGGTACCAATAGACTAACAGGCTAATGTTGGGACCCTCGAATAGAGGTGGAACTATGATCCTTTGTAGGAGCCGAGGAAAGGTGAGATACGACTGACAACAGAGACGAATGTAGAAACTGACAATCAAACCAACGTGCAGAATGATAAATATCTTATCACCATATATAGAGTGAGACGAATCCCAGAAAGCTGTAATCTATTCAAGTTGACTACAGGTTAAATCACATAATTTCGAAAACTGTGGCAGACAAGGCATAGCTGTCCTTTTATGTAACTGAGCAGTAAACCTCCCTGCATGAACCACAATATCAGTACATCACACACTTGATGGACCAACTGAAGAAATAGAGCCTCCTGACAAGCCAACAGAATAAAGGAAAAAGCAAATATAAATTCACTTCAGAATGTTAATGATAGCCTTTAAATGCAGCTTCAGAGCCCCCTGGAGGAACACCATCAAACCAAATATATGTCTTCAAATTCGATGATGAAGAAGCCACTTTGAGACTAATAATGGCTGGAGACGGCTTGAATGGGTAATGAAGAAAAACTTTAATATAAGTTTAACATAACAGCAGATGTACAACGTTTCGACAAGGTTTTGTCATCATCAGGTTTGCTGTTATGTTAAACTTATATTA